AGTTGACAACTTAAAACTTTAAAATAAAATTCTCCGTTTTCCTGGCATAAATAATAATAATAATTATTTGTCTGCTAAATAAATTTAGTAACAAAATTTTTTTTTAATAGAAATACTTTAAATATAAAAATAAGAAATAATTAATAATAATAATTTAACAGAGAGAAATTACAAAATTTACACTCGCACGTTGAGAAGGTCTAAACAGGTCAATGCGTAAATTGCAACTAATTTAATTGCCTTTGTGATTTTCCAATCACATTGTTTATTATCATCGAAATTTATATCCTTTGTTCTTCAATGTAAACATACAGCTTGGGACGCAGGTATAGAAATATCCCTTCCATATACATTTAAAATAATTTCAAATTCATTATATTTATTTCATTGATTGAATTATTTTTTGGAATTTTCAATTTTATTGAAAAATTTTAATGCAAAATAAAAAAGTGACTTTATTAATTAAGAAAAATAAAGGATAATTATAAAAAAAAAATTCTTAATACTATATGTAATTTAAAATAATATTACTTAGAATTTTTTTCCCGGTGAAAAAAATTTCAGGTTAATTCCCGCTTTTCACGTGTGGTGGCTCTTCAGTTCTAAATATGACGTCATCATCGCTCGCGCCATTTTGAGTTGAGGTCTACAGTACCCCTATCTTCAGTAGTATAGTGGTCAGTATCCCCGCCTGTCACGCGGGAGACCGGGGTTCGATTCCCCGCTGGAGAGAATTTTTTTTTTTAATTTTGCAAAATTGTTAAATATAAAACTTTTAATCTTTTTTTCTGTTTCAGATGCAGCAGTATGATGATTCCTCCACAGTACCTAAAATTTCAGCTATATTGCCAACATTGCCTCAATATTATCATTATTTTTGGAATTCCAATATTAGAATCTTGAGGCAATGTTGCGAAGGGATTTATTAGAAAACTAAATCGTAATAATATTATTTATGCATTTATGATGCCTAAAATTTCGTTAATATTCAGAACTTGTTAACTATTTCTGTATACAGAGTAAATCAAAATGCCAAGTTTTCAAGTTATAGTAAATTTATAGAAGTTTTAAGATGATAATAATAAGACGTGCGCGGAATTTGACTCTGTATGGGGGTCGACATCGTGATTTCACGCCCACGTTTTAAAAACGAAAATATTGCATTTTAATATAATGATAATGTACTACCGATGAAAAGAAGATTCGTGGGCAACAGTATAAATTTCTTTGTAAAATGCCTTGACATAAACGTCGTCATAATCGTCTTGTCCGCGGGCACATGCAAACGACCAGTGGCAAAAAACATCCCGCTTATATACATATATATGAATATCCTAACCACCCCATTTTTTTATTTTCTTTATGATCTTGTCTCTTGGCTTATTATAAATATATCTCTCGCAATGGAGAAACAAATTATTTTTTTTCTTCTAAAATAAAATTCACAAATTCTTTGAATATTCATAAATATATTTAAAATCAGTCTTCTAAAATGAATTTTTTAAATATGTTTTTAAAAAATAATCTTTTCTTTGCAGGAGTTTATAATATATGTATATATCTACACACATAAAATTAAAAGGCATTAAAATAAGCTGCAACGCTTATAATTTTAATCCAATTTTGCTTATTTTATAATCCATTTTGGTATTAAAATAAGCAAAATTGGATTAAAATAATAAGCGTTGCAGCTTATTTTAATGCCTTTTAATTTTCTGTGTATGCCGTAAAATAAGTTTGGAAAAAATTTTTTTTAAAGTGAAAAAATATATATAGGAAAAATTTGTTAATTTCGATTTTAAAGGTAAATACTCGGGTAAATAATTAATCAAATAAATATTTATAGTAAATCTTAGTCGTTTTGTGTGTAAAATAGGCGTTTCACATTATGACTGCGCTATGAAAGATCGGAGTGTGCAGTGCACAAGTTTCTCCGCATGCTGTCAAAGGCATATTATATATATATATATACAGTCTCGGTGCTCTTGTTTCCCTTTTGCACTGGGGGAGGTCGCGAATCCCTGCCGCGTAGATAATTAGATCGCTACCAACCACCTTCATTTTAACGCATCTTCACCTCTTTTTCAGCCCTTTTTTTCTCTCCCCTTAACACTCCCTTTTTTACTTTCTTCACACTTATATAGATGTATCAAAATTAATATTATATATTAAAAGAGGAATTATTTCGCGTATATTTTACAAGGTTACTATGGGATCGGTTACTATGGCAATAGTTACTATGCGGCAAGCAATAGTTACTACGGCAATTGTTACTATGCGGCAATAGTTACTACGGCAATTGTTACTATGCGGCAATAGCTACTACGGCAATAGTTCCTACGGCAATTGTTACTATGCGGAAATAGTTACTACGGCAATTGTTACTATGCGGCAATAGTTACTACGGCAATAGTTACTACGGCAATTGTTACTACGGCAATTGTTACTATGCGGCAATAGTTACTATAGCAAAGTAGTTACAATGCGGCAATAGTTCCTATGCGGCAATAGTTACTACGGCAATTGTTACTATGCGGCAATAGTTACTACGGCAATTGTTACTATGCGGCAATAGCTACTACGGCAATAGTTCCTACGGCAATTGTTACTATGCGGAAATAGTTACTACGGCAATTGTTACTATGCGGCAATAGTTACTACGGCAATAGTTACTACGGCAATTGTTACTACGGCAATTGTTACTATGCGGCAATAGTTACTATAGCAAAGTAGTTACAATGCGGCAATAGTTCCTATGCGGCAATAGTTACTACGGCAATTGTTACTATGCGGCAATAGTTACTATGGCAATTGTTATTATGCGGCAATAGTTACTACGGCAATAGTTACTATAGCAAAGTAGTTACAATGCGGCAATAGTTACTACGACAACAGTTACTACGGCAATTGTTACTATGCGGCAATAGTTACTCTAGCAAAGTAGTTACAATGCGGCAATAGTTCCTATGCGGCAATAGTTACTATGACAATAGTTACTACGGCAATTGTTACTATGCGGCAATAGTTACTACGACAATAGTTACTAGAGCAATTGTTACTATGCAGCAATAGTTACTATAGCAAAGTAGTTACAATGCGGCAATAGTTACTATGACAATAGTTACTACGGCAATTGATATTGTGCGGCAATTGTTACTATGGCAATAGTTACAATACGGCAATTGTTACTACGGCAATAGCTACTATGGCAGCCGTAACTATGGCAACGGTTACAATGGCAACAGTTACTACGGCAATTGATATTATGCGGCAATTGTTACTATGGCAATAGTTACAATGCGGCAATTGTTACTACGGCAATAGCTACTATGGCAGCCGTAACTATGGCAACGGTTACAATGGCAACAGTTACTACGGCAATTGTTACTATGCGGCAATAGTTACTATAGCAAAGTAGTTACAATGCGGCAATAGTTCCTATGCGGCAATAGTTACTACGGCAATAGTTACTACGGCAATTGTTACTATGCGGCAATAGTTACTATGGCAATTGTTATTATGCGGCAATAGTTACTACGGCAATAGTTACTATAGCAAAGTAGTTACAATGCGGCAATAGTTACAACGACAACAGTTACTACGGCAATTGTTACTATGCGGCAATAGTTACTCTAGCAAAGTAGTTACAATGCGGCAATAGTTCCTATGCGGCAATAGTTACTATGACAATAGTTACTACGGCAATTGTTACTATGCGGCAATAGTTACTACGACAATAGTTACTAGAGCAATTGTTACTATGCGGCAATAGTTACTATAGCAAAGTAGTTACAATGCGGCAATAGTTACTATGACAATAGTTACTACGGCAATTGATATTGTGCGGCAATTGTTACTATGGCAATAGTTACAATGCGGCAATTGTTACTACGGCAATAGCTACTATGGCAGCCGTAACTATGGCAACGGTTACAATGGCAACAGTTACTACGGCAATTGATATTATGCGGCAATTGTTACTATGGCAATAGTTACAATGCGGCAATTGTTACTACGGCAATAGCTACTATGGCAGCCGTAACTATGGCAACGGTTACAATGGCAACAGTTACTACGGCAATTGTTACTATGCGGCAATAGTTACTATAGCAAAGTAGTTACAATGCGGCAATAGTTCCTATGCGGCAATAGTTACTACGGCAATAGTTACTACGGCAATTGTTACTATGCGGCAATAGTTACTATGGCAATTGTTATTATGCGGCAATAGTTACTACGGCAATAGTTACTATAGCAAAGTAGTTACAATGCGGCAATAGTTACTACGACAACAGTTACTACGACAATAGTTACTAGAGCAATTGTTACTATGCGGCAATAGTTACTATAGCAAAGTAGTTACAATGCGGCAATAGTTACTATGACAATAGTTACTACGGCAATTGATATTGTGCGGCAATTGTTACTATGGCAATAGTTACAATGCGGCAATTGTTACTACGGCAATAGCTACTATGGCAGCCGTAACTATGGCAACGGTTACAATGGCAACAGTTACTACGGCAATTGATATTATGCGGCAATTGTTACTATGGCAATAGTTACAATGCGGCAATAGTTACTAAGGCAATAGCTACTATGGCAGCCGTAACTATGGCAACAGTTACTACGGCAATATTTCCTGTGTAATTAATTAAAAAATTTATATTCTTTTTAATATGAAAAGAAACGCGCCTATAGTGAAAGAAAATCACAAATGCGTAAAACAGCTTTCTTTAATTCTATACGCATACAAAAAAGAGAGAAGCAATTCGTCATGCCTTCAGTCTTATTTTTCTTCTTCTTTTTTTTCATTAACTTCATCTCGCAAAGAGTATATACACACACTTTTGTCCTCAACACTAAATCAACCAGTTTTAACGATCACGGTTCTTCATTGCGTAAAAGACATCTTCCCCAAAGTACATATATACGATAAACCAGAATAAGAAGAGAATGTGTGGGTAACAGAATGAATCTCGTTCCAGTCGGTCAGTCAGTTGTGCGGTGAGAGTCAGTGCGGGTGATTAAGCGTGCATCTTTTACTTCAAGAAGAAGAAGAAGAAGAATAAGGGAACGGTGGATAGGATATACTAGTACCAATGATGAAGGAAAAGAAAAGGACGAAGAGGAGGAAACGAGTCTTGGGAGGAGAAGGAACCGTCGGTCGGTGACGGTCAGCGAGCGCGAGCTGACCTATGACCCATGCGTCTTTCTCTCTTTTTCTCTCTCTCTCTCTTTTAGCCAGTCGTCGGATCTCTTTGCACACCCGTGGCTAAGGTCCCGGCGTGGGCGATGTTGCGGGGAGGGGTGCATGTTGGCCCGCGGGCGTCCCGGGACCGTGAGAACACCACCTATAATATTATTTAGTCTGCCCTCTACGCGAGAAAAGGACGATGAGAAGGAGAGAGAGAGAAAAAGAGAGATGACTTGAAGGAGAGGGAGATGGCTGAAGAGAAAGAAAGAGAGTGAGAAGGTACCGGTAAAGAGCAGCTAACTATAGGCGCTATACACGGTTTACTCTCGCGCATTAATTGCCGTCGTAAATTGTTGCGGCTTTACAGTCAAGTCAATGTGAAATGGTACGGCGCGGCACGAAGAGCAAAATTCCCTTTAGTTGTCGATCTTTTCCGCATTAAATCCCTCTTGTATTTCTTTAACCTAATCCAAATGGATTAGAAATACGTTATAAAAAATATCTATTAAGATTAAGACTCCCGAAAAATATTATTTTTTTCCCATTCTTTTTTTAAGGTTAAGGTATATAATATAAATTGTATACATCAATTGGAGAATTGGGTGTATGATAGCGCACGCTTAATGCCAGAGGGTACTCCCCCGCAAATGTGAAGGCGCGTGTGTGTTGCCAGGCCGCCAAGTCCCAGCTGTACAAGATGCAATGGGGACGAGTGGGCCCAATGTGAATCTCAGATACCTGCCGTCAGGTGGCTCCACCAGCAGCGCTCGTCAGCGAGTTGCTGAAGCAGTCGCGAAGGCGCTTTCGTAACGCCAACAACTTGCGTCTTGTTCCCAAAGATGCCAACGGACACGCGCCCATTTTATCAGTGATCAATTAATTCTTCTTGATATTGAATCAATGTGAGAGGTGTGATTTAAATTTCTAAAAATAGACAATGCAGCAAGATCAGCGCGAGATGACAAAAACAACATCTGATCTTGAATCAGTCTCATCAACGGAGACAACGGGTTTAACTCTACAAAGTGTTTTACAAAGCGTACAAACTTACTTGACCCTCCAAAGACTTCACGCGAGTGGGGCGACAAATGTATCATCATCATCATCATCTTCAACCCCATCATCAATATCAACCCTGGGGCTTCAAGGGGCATTACTCGCTGCCCTACAAAGGGTTGCCCTCTTACCCCCTGGTCATGCTGCAGCAGCTGCACTCAATCTACAAGCACTCGAGACCTATCTAACTCTTCATCGTCTTCATGCAAGTGGAGCTGCAACTGTATCATCAACTGGACCTAGTCAGCGTTGCTCAATGACCTTTGGTTCTTTGACAAAAACAGATCATTTAGGTTTGGATCATATACTCCAATCAAATTCCTTAGACGAAGATGATGGATCACATCTTGATTTTGTCACCGATCCAGAGGAGGATTTAGCACTACTTGACGATGATGATGATACAACAATATTAAGGGAGAATTCAATTTCGTCAAATCATGATGTACTTTTGCAACGAATAGTATCGGATGGTGGTAGTCAAATTTTACCGACGGGCAATAATAATACCACTACCACAACAACGGGACAATTGGTGCAAAGTTCGACGTTACAAGCGACATCAACATCAAATACAGATGTTAATTTAATGCAAAGAAATTGCCGTGCTGCAAGGCCCAAGAAACAATTTATTTGCAAATTTTGCAATCGACAATTTACAAAGAGCTATAATCTATTGATTCATGAGAGAACACATACGGATGAAAGGCCCTATTCCTGTGATATTTGCGGCAAGGCATTCCGTCGGCAAGATCATCTTCGTGATCACAGGTGGGATTTTTATTTTCAATTTTGGATTTATCTTAATGATTTTATTTTTATAAATCAAATATTTATATCAAGAAAATCATGTGATATGCTAAAAAAGAGGAATCAAGTTATTAAATGAAAATTAAGTTTAGAAATGTGCAAAAGCAGCGGCTCAGATCTTGTAAATCTGTTTAAAAAAAAATCCAAATTAAAGATATTATAAATATTCTATATTTTCAAAATTGAATCATTTTAATGCATTCACAGAAAATTATAAGCTGCAACGCTTATTATTTTAATCCAATTTTGCTTATTTTAATTCATTTTGGTATTAAAATAAGCAAAATTGTATTAAAATAATAAGCATTGCAGCTTATTTTAATGCCTTTTAATTTTCTGTGTTAAAAAATTTTAACTGATTTTTTAAGCGTGAATTATTAGAAAATAATTGTTTCAATTTGCCAACAGAGGATTTAAACAAAAAAACAGGATTTTAAGAGAAGATAATGAATAATAAATTTTTAAATATTACTCGCTGTTTTTTTAGTTGGTAGTGAAGTCAAAACACAGCGTGATCCTTGAAATTATGACTCATAAAAGTCCTTAAAGATTCTTTATTCTTCGATCCTTTAATATTTCCCATTTTTTCTGCAATAAAAAAGGTTAAATCGGTTATAAACACTTTATTTCCGTTATAGTGTTTGAGAAAAAAAAATTTTACTATATTAAAATTAATATTTTAAATATTATTGTAAATATCTATTAAATAAAAAAAAGTAAATTATTTTTTGCTAACATAAAAATGTTACCATTAACTAAAAAAAAAATTTATGTAACTTTTTTTTCACTCGTTAAAAAAGTGTGTTTTTTTTAAAGTAGAATTTATAAGCGAAAATTTTAGGAAACATTATATGTTTAAGTTGACAATAAATCTTGAATTCTTACAAAAAAAAAATTCAAGTGTCATTTTGATACTAAAAATTTAGTAACCAAGTGTCTCTTTTGACTTCCGGGCCTTTTCAGGATAATTTAAGTCAGTTTAGATAAAAAATCTCGCGCATAAAAATGAGAAAACAGGTTTATTATCTGACACCATCTGCCACAAGTTGGTAATTTCAAAGAATCATTTGTAAAATCACTATATATAACCCAAAATTTATGTATCGGCAAGTGAAAATAATTCTCCAAAAATTATAATATATGTATATACATATATTTATAATTATATATATACACATGCGCAACAGTTTATAAATTTAGAAAATAGAAATTTTGTTTATTTCTAAAAATAATTTGCTGTTTTTTTCACAATAAATTAAAATTTAATTAATAATTAAATTTTATAGTCATTAATGAAAACGCAGCAATTATTTTCAATTAAATTATTGAAAATTTAATTATAGCAGAAAATTTTAATTCTCTATTAAAAAAAAATTAATATTCCTAAATCAAATTGAGAAGAAAAGATATATGATTTATTTTTAATAATAAAAAAAAAATTTATTCTAAACTTACAACAATAGATAATAATATTGTTGTTAATGACAAGTAATGAAAATTACTGCATGTTCTAGAATGAATTTATTGTCTATTTTATTATCGCTTATGATTTCAACTAAAGGCGCAAATACTTTGAAGAATAATAGACATGTTTTATAATTGTTTTCCATTGTTGAATAATTAGTTTTCTGATTCAAATTTTATTTTTACGATCAATGATGATATTTTTCCAAGCTTCTTCTTTATACTATTTTACAACAACAACATAAATAATAATAATAATAATAATAATAATAATAATAATAATAATAATAATAATAAATAACGAAAATACAATAAATTTTGGTAATTTTTTTTGCAGGTACATTCACAGTAAGGAAAAGCCATTCAAGTGTGCGGAATGTGGGAAGGGATTCTGTCAGAGTAGAACATTGGCCGTTCATAAAATTCTTCACATGGAGGAATCGCCGCATAAATGTCCAGTTTGTGCGCGAAGTTTCAATCAGAGGAGCAATTTAAAAACACATTTATTAACGCACACTGACATAAAGCCATATCATTGCGCAAATTGTGGCAAAGTTTTTCGTAGAAATTGCGATTTAAGAAGGCATTCGTTAACTCATAATCTTGGTGTTGCGGCGTCGCCACCATCGCCGGGAATTCCCGTACCTGGATCGAGCGCTGCTGTTCTCCAAGAGACATCCTAGCACACCCTTTAAAAAAAATTTTTTTTTTTTTTTTTGTGTACATGTGCACGCTTCCTCTCATCAAAAATTCCCTTAAAAAATATCTTCGCTAATTTTTTTTCCGTCATTATTTTTTAGCGCGTAAGTCATCATACACACTTTTTTTTTTTTTTTTAAATAATTCTACCCACTTGGAAAGATTCCCCGGAAAGTGCCCCCTGGAGGTCCTATCAAAATTCCGCCGGAACTTTCAACGTATAATTCCGTCGGAATACCATCGGAGTTCCAAAGAATTTCCGCCGGAACCTCCAACGTAATTCCGTCGGAATTCCATCGAAGTTCCAAAGAATTTCCGCCGGAACCTCCAACGTAATTCCGTCGGAATTCCATCGGAGTTTCAAAGAATTTCCGATGGGATTCTGACAGAATTCTGACGGAATTCCGATTAACTTTTTTCAAAATTTTTAAGAGTCCTAATTCCGTCGGAATCCCATCGGAAATTCTTTGGAACTTCGATGGAATTCCGACGGAATTATACGTTGAAAGTTCCGGCGGAATTTTGATAGGACCTCCAGGGGGCACTTTCCGGGGAACCTTTCCAAGTGGGTAGGCTCGTGCGATAAATGTAATTATTTTTTTTTTACAAAAATAGATAATTGAAAAATAATGATATGAATTGATAAATGTAATAAATGAATTGTAATTGATAATTTTACATACAATTAGTAAATAAACAGTCGATTTGAACATTTTTAGGTTATGTTCACTCGTGGCCAGATAGACCTATACTGTTTTTTTTTGTCCTTTTCTGATAAACGCGTTGTCATGGCAACACGTACGTTAGAAAAGGACAAAAAAAGTATAGGTATATCTCGCCAAGAATGTTCATTGCCATTGGTTGAAGAAAGAGCGCGCTTTTTTAAAATAATATTTCAAATAAACGCGATGTTTTATAATTGTACTATTAGAAAAATTTATTTATTTCTTTTATCAATTCATTGATTTAGTTATATTTTATGTGTGTAAAAGAAAAAAAAACAGAGAATGAGGAAGATAATTTAATTTAAAAAATGTATACTATTACGATAAACGTGTCTGTGTTCTATGTAAGTATATATATATATAGTAAGTAAATTTATTATTTTTAACTAAACTTTGATTTTTTTATGAACGATAATTTAAAAAAAAAAAAAATTTGTTTTAAGTCGAAGACTCAAAAAGCAAATTATTTCGTGTTTCATAAAAGAATTTTATATATATATATATAGAGAGAAAGAGAGAATAAATTAATTATTGCGACTTGAAAAAGTATGATTTTTGTATATTTTATAAAGTGACTTAATTTGGTGATAATTGTTATAAAATATTACAGTATCGACATTTTTTTTTTTCGTCGATTTCGTTTATAGTCAGATTTCTAATGATACTCATTTCGATGTTTATTTTAAAAAAAAAAGTTTTTTTTTTTTTGTTATTTTAAATAAATATTTTAGAATAAGTGGATCGTCGTTAGCATCAACATTATACATAACGAAGAGTTGAATATTAAATATTGTAAAAAATTTTTTATTCTTCAATTTCCAAAATTTGTTTCTATATAAGAATTAATAAATTAATAAATTTTCTATATTTGTAGTTATTGTATTTTATTTTTAAATTCCACTTTTACATACAAATATTTAAATAAGTTTTTTCTAAAATTTAAAAACATTCTTTTTTTTCTTACTATATAATTTTATTTTGAAATCAAAATTCAAATAAAAATATTACAATTTCTATATAAATATATATGTATTCATACCTGGAAATATATCGATGCGAAACAATATATGTGTATAATTTTAGGATTTAAATCTCCATCTGTTTTGTCCACCCATCAATTTTTTTTTTCTTCAAAAAAAAAAAAAATAAAAATAAAATAAAACACCTCAATTATATCTCGAAAGGAAACATTTATAATATTCTAGAACGCCTTAATTAGACATTTGAAGAAAAAAATGATTATCAAGAAGTTAAAAGACTGTTTTTCCTTCTAATCGTTTCAAAATTTTAGACTCCCATGGGTTTCAAATTACAGCTTTTAAATATATGTATTTGATCGATAACAAATCAGCTTCCGACGGATTTTTTGGATGAGAAAATTTCTAATTATATATACAAAAAGATTTCTTTTTTTTCTTTCCATATATATAAAAATAATTTTAAATTAATGTAAATTATCAATCCTTTATTATATATATATATAAATCAAGAAAATTAATTTTTGTTTACAAAAATATTGTTCAAATATTTATTAGAATTCTATTTTTCAAATCTTCAAAGAAGAAAAGAGATTAGAATTGAAAAAAAAATTTGATTATTTATTATTCAAACAAATGAGTGAAAAAAACTTTTATCTCATTTCCCACTTGGAAAGATTCCTCGGAAAGTGCCACCTGGAGGTTCTATCAGAATTCCCCTGGAACTTCCAACGTATAATTCCGTCGGAATTCCATCGAAGTTCTAAAGAATTTCCGATGGGATTCCGACGGAATTCTGACGGATTTCCGATTAACTCTTTTCAAAATTTTTAAGAGTCCTAATTCCGTCGGAATCCCATCGGAAATTCTTTGGAACTTTGATGGAATTCCGACGGAATTACGTTGGAGGTTCCGGCGGAAATTCTTTGGAACTCCGATGGAATTCCGACGGAATTACGTTGGAAGTTCCGGCGGAAATTCTTTGGAACTCCGATGGAATTCCGACGGAATTACGTTGGAGGTTCCGGCGGAAATTCTTTGGAACTCCGATGGAATTCCGACGGAATTACGTTGGAAGTTCCGGCGGAAATTCTTCGGAACTCCGATGGAATTCCGACGGAATTACGTTGGAAGTTCCGGCGGAATTCTGATAGAACCTCCATAGGGGGCACTTTCCGGGGAATCTTTCCAAGTGGGTTACTAAACAAATATGTTTTTTTTTTTTTTTTTTTACTGAACCCATATAATGAAAAACTAACTTTCAAATCATCAAAGGTAAAATTATGCAGTTCAATTATGCGGCAGTAGTCTCACCCCTTTGCCTGTCATTGTGACTCTTAGCGCAGGTAGACACTTTTTTTTTCAAAGTGAGTCTTTTTGGTTCCTAATTAATTACCGAGACCCTTCTTTTTCTTCTTCTTCTTCTTCTGTCTATATTCGAGGCGTGTTTTACGAGAATGGCCGCAAGGGCCCCAAAAAGAAACGAAAACCTAGGATCATATTACAAAGAATTGGCCGCCAGGTGCTCGCAAGTATGTACATGATACTGCTGTGTATGAGTCTAGGGTTACGATTCTCTGGCGATGCCGCGTGCAGTTTGACTCGTCATTGAGAGCCCGATAAGGGAACTTCAAGTCAAGAGAGAAGAAGAAAGAGAGAGAGAGAGAGAGAGAGAGAGAGAGAGAGATTCTCGCATTTAAACACGCACCCATTTCGTTTTAACTTCACGTATATAAAATCTCACACCTTTTCTTTTATGAGTTTCATAAAGTCACTCAGAATATTTTTATACAACAAAAAGTATTTTACATCTGGCATTAATGTTTTTGTTCTGACTCTCGCGATATATGCGGTAAATTGAATAAAGATTAAAAAAAAAAATTCCTTACGCAACAAAGTATTTTCAATGTTAAAGTTAGGTTAGATTCGCAATCATACTATTTTCTTTTTATCCAACCATTCTGATTCGACACTTCAGAACAGCTGATAAAATTGCGTGCGCAATTAGTAACAACTATTTATAGGTTATGTTGTCACATAATCGTCGATTAACTCTGTTAACAAACCAAAATTGGGTTAAGCCCTAAGCAGAATAGAAACGTAACCGCAAACGCAAACAGAAAAATGAGTTAGAGAAGGATAGACATATTGTTTGTCCTTCTCTAACTCATTCTTCCGGTTGTGTTTGCGATTACGATTCCGGTTACGTTTCTATTCTCTTCAGGCCTTTAAGGTTCATGTATAAAGTAGATCCTAACCTTCAAATGTATATGGTAGAAAAGTCTGGCAGAAATACTGCTAATATGCCGGGTCCTCGATAGGTTAATTGCGATAAATATTTAAAAAAGAAAAATAAAATCCTTTCTTAAAAAAAAACAGTGGTGCATCTGAACTCAATAAATCTCGAAATAAGAAAATGGAAAAATATCGAAATATGAAATGAGCATTGAGAATGTGAAATAATAATAGAAAGGCGGTATATTAAGATTAGAAATGTATAGGTGGAGCTGCAGTCGCTTTTTTCATAAATAAAAAATGAGCGCTATTTGAATTTATCGCAGCTTATTTATTTTTGAACACATCAAAATTATTTAGATTAATTGATAGTTTTAAATTAACAAATTGAAATGAAAAATAATCTAAATTCGCATTTTTCCACACTTAAAGAAATTAAATTATTATCGAAAATTATAATACAAAAAAAAAGGGGGGGGGGAAATATTTACAGAAACGAGGAACTAAAAAAGTCAGTGAGAAAGTTGATCCTTTCACGTAGGAAGGAACTTGGTATCTAATGGAATGCTTCCTACGGACAAAGAATTGTCGATAAATAAATTGTAATAAATTGTGGTAACTAACGACGGCGTAAATAAATAGTTGTATATATATATATATATATATATATATATATAAAATGCGGTGCTGTTCTTATAGCGAGAGCGGTGCCTTATTTTGGTTCTTAACGGTGAAAATTAATCTTCCAACCGGCCCACACAGCCAATTATCTTGAGAAAATATTGTATATAGTTATTTAGTGACGTGAGATAATAGCGAGGTATCGGAAAGGCCCGCAATAGATTTTCTCGGAATTATGCACGAGGAGGAATCGTCGATTTCCATAAACGAAATATGTACTAGGCCTTTTTTGAAATTATATTATTATATATATATACAATATATTTTTCCCCCTATATGAAAATCTATATTTTTTTCAAGAAGGACGTTATTTTTAACAATATAGAAATAATTATTTTGTACGATTTAGTTTTCTGAAAAACACCTTTTTGATTTACCTGTAGTTGTAATTGGCATGATAATTTCCCTCCAGTTTTAATTGTATTAAGTAAATGATTGATTACGATTTAGTTTTCTTAAAAACACATTTTTGACTTACCTCTAGTTGTAATTAGCATGATGATTTCCCTCCAGT